CGGTGCATTGGGCCCCCAAAATGATGTGTTCCCCATCTTGGCCCCTTTGAGGATGGGGGACTTACAACCCCAAAAACCCCCCAGCAGGCAGGCCGGGTGGGGGAATTCTGGGAGTTGAAGTCCACTCATCTTAAAGTGGCCAAGTTTGGACAACACTGCATTTGGAGCACCAAAGGCACAGGTACCCATTGAAGGAGATGAGAGGGAATATATAAACACCACGAAGTATGTTTCTAAAGGAGAAATATTTCATATCCCGAGTGGATATTACAGGTTCTAATCATCCTAGGGAAAGAGATCGCGGGATCCCTTCAAACCAGCATTTGCAGACCAGCCTTTCAAAGGCATTGAGTGCAGTCCTGTAGCTCTGATGGCAGGGATTTGGGGAGTGAGAGTCCACAGTATCGGGAGGTTACCAGCCTTAGGAATCATAGAATCCTAGGGTTGGAAGGCACCTTGGAGGTCTGCTAGTCCAACCCTCTGCCCAAGGCAGGAGCCCTCCTACCATCTCAAATGGTTGTCCAATCTTTTCTTGAAAGCCTCCAGTAATGGAGCACCCACAAGAAGGCTGCCTCAGAGTCCATAGCACAGTAGCCCCCTTGCCTCCTTGTGACTCCAGCCAGGTCCCCTGCCCAAACCATGTCTCTCGTCCCTAACAAATTTCTACAGTGATAATATCATCAATATCCTTCATACAAGGGCAGGGATGGATCTCTTCCCAGCCTACAGAAAGCACGCTGGCCCTCCAAAACACCAGCTCAGCTCCTGGTGGCCATGTGGCCATGAGCAGGCAATTCTCTTAGCCCCAATAGAGAGAGGCTGACATTGTTGCCTTCTGGATTTTGATTTTGAGGGGGTGGGGACTTTACAGACTTGTTTACAGCCCTGGGATTTCATAGTGGTATCCCATCCAAGGATAACCGAGTCTGACCTGGCTGAGCTTCTTGTGATGAGCCAAGGTTGGCCAGCTGCTCTCATTCAGGCTGGTGGGAGGCCCTCTGCCGAATGTCACGGTGGTTCTGCAAAGAATTGGGTCAAGCAAGGAGAGGAGAAAAGGTGACATCTTTGCCAAAGAGAAAAGTTTTGTTCTGAACCCTCCATTGGGGGAAAGTCACCTCCCCGTGCTTTTCCAGGGGAATTACA